GTGACGAAGCAAAGAGTAGGGAAGAGAGAAAGCTCGTGCAGAAGATTGGTAGGCAATGTTGACGAATGAATTTATAGACTGAAGCTGACAGTCACATTAGACTTCTTCATCCTTGTATGTGACCGCATTCGGTCGGTCGCAGGATTGCTCCCGACTTACAACTTTCACAGACTTACTGCTGTCTAAGTTACTTCTTCAACTTCCTCGGTAAGAGCCGCCTCACTTACTTGAGACCGATGAATGGGATAGTGAGCTTACCTCTCCAATGCTGAAGATCGTGCTGCCTTTGCCAATGCATATGTAAGTTCCCTGGTTCCATCATCTACGTTATGATGTTGATTGTCAATCCACAGGTCGCCGGCCTTCGTGAGGCCCTGAACATGAAGGGACACGACTATAACACTGTCCTTTCGGTTACGACTGCAGGGTCAGTCGGCTGTACTGCCACCTCCTTGTCAGAATATACTGACACAATCACGCAGAATGGCCATCGGCCAGATTCCTCATGGATTGATTATTCAAAAGATCAAGCCCCGCATCTGGCTTCCATCCATGGTCGTTGTCTGGGCTGCTCTGACAGTAAGTTATACATAGTTGGTAGCTGTGTGGCCACGACAGGTATTGATCCAATGGATAGATGATCAGTGCAGCATGCAAGACAGTCACTCAGCTTTGCGTCGTCCGTTTCTTCCTTGGCCTTGCTGAGGCAAGCACGTACGCCGGCACCATCTACATCATCGGCTCTTGGTACAAGCCAAAGGAGATCTCCAAGCGCACGGCCATTTTCACAGCATCCGGTCAGGTCGGCACCATGTTTGCTGGCGTCATGATGGCGGCCATCTACAAGGGCATGGGAGGACTCGGTGGTCTTGGTGGCTGGCAGTGGGTTTTCCTTATTGGTAAGTAAAGCCTATTACCTCAGCCAGAGAATTATACTGACAAAATCCTAGATGGCATCATCACGCTTCCCATTGCCTTTTTCGGTTTCTTCTTCTTCCCTGACATCCCGGAGAACACCAAGGCGACTTACCTGAGTGAGTCCGAGAAGAAAATGGCTGTTGCTCGTCTGCCTCCCATCAAGGAAGGAGGACATAGCATCAACCCCTTTTCTCTCATGAAGCGCTTGTTCCTACAGCCCATGTTGTGCGTCTTTCCTTTCCCCTTCCGTGCTGTGCAAACCTCGCTGACACTTACCTAGTTGGATCTTGGTTTTCTGGTCTCCCGTCTGCGCTACCCTTGAGGCCTATGCCGTTCAGAACAACTTCCTCATCTGGCTGAAGTACCAGTCTTCGCACTTCACTCAAAGCCAAATCAACACCTACCCACTCGGTGTGCAGGCCGTCGGTATCGCGTCCAACATGTTGGCCGCTTGGCATATGGACGCTACCGGCACCCGCGTCCCCATGGCCGTGTTGGCTATCTTCTTGCAGCTTATCTGCGCCATTATGCTCCTGGTCCCGACCCTTCCCTTTGCTGGAACCTTCTTCGCCTTCTACCTGTCCGGCACGGCGTACATGGTCAACCCGCTGATCTTTGGCTGGGCAAGCATTATTCTTCAGCGCACTGGCGACGACGCGGTCCGCAGTGTGACAGTCTATTGCATGAACGTCCTCTCCTTGACCTTGTATACGTTCTGGGGTATCGTGTTCTACGCGGCTGATGAGGCCCCATACTGGAAGAAGGGTGGCATTGTTATGATTGTTTGCTGCTTCGTTATGCTGGGCTACGTCTTTGTCGTTCGGAAGGTAAGCCACGGTACCTTATCGCGTCAAGTAGGGGAAAGGGTCGCTAATATTTTGCACAATAGCTTGACATTCATACGCTTGAGAAGTATGGAAATCCCACGGCCGGGGACTCGGAGGCGTCGCCTGAGGTCTGCGCTAAGGCTTCGGGTATTGAGTTGACGGATAGCTTGGAGGGCAAGAAGAACGTCAGCTCCGAGAAAGTTGTCACTCTGTAATAATCGAAGACAAGCTTTGACTGTTGGAGAGCATCAAGGCAGGGAAAGTAAGTCTTCATGGAGAATTTGTCCGTGGCAGTATTTCGCGGATCGTAGCAAAGGCATACACAAATCAACATTGAATTTTCACTCATAACTCAGCGCAATCCTGTGCTAAATGATGGAAGAATAAGGTCTTGGGCAACCCAACACTGTCTATCTCGGCTGTTTTGAGGCCCATCACACAAACTGAGCAATTGACACTTCCGGGGAGCTGTGACCCGGCTCCGGTGTCTTGAAAACCTCACCGTACATTATTCCACATACATAGGATGAGCCAATAATATGGAACACTCTGTCTCTTCCTTCAACGGGCCTTATCACCAGGGGTGTCTGGACAGATGGAATGATGCATATCAAATCGCCGGGCTTGATCAACGGGGTACTTGTTCCACTAAAGTTGATTAGCAAGAGAATAGAATTCAAAGCATATTCTTCAGAAAACTTTCGCACATACCAGTACCCCTTCTTCGTGGTGAAAAGCTTCTCCCCTTTTATGCTACTCGCTGTACGTGGTACGAATGGTATGAAGTGAGTCTCAGCCGAAGCCCACTGGTTGAGCCACTCGTGCTTTTCAAGGCGATCCTGGATTGTGGGACAGTGTTCTTTGCAAAAGTCGCTGAAGCTCCTAGCAATTGAGGCGGGATCCTTGTCATCCGCGTCACATGCGTGTAAAAGGGTGCTGGCGAACGCGAGAGCCTTGTCCGCATAGGCGAGGTTATGACTCCTTCCAGTGGCCCCCAGCAGAGCCCAGTATTCTTCCGCGATGCTGGGCCGGTTGACAAGTGCTGCTTCTGTAGCCAGACGGTGGGCATCTGCATCCTCGGCTGGCGCACCACCGTCCAGGGACGGCTCTCCTCCAGCTATACTGCCATAGAGGAAGACTGTGTCAATGATATAGACAGACGTCTCAAGGCAGGAATCAACTACCCGGGTCTGAATATTCGTTGCCTGGGTTAAAGGGCTCTCGTCTCTGCTTGCATCGTATCTGCTATTCATCGTCCAGGGTCGACGAGCATCCAGATAGGGACACCATGATGGTCCCTTGGAGAGATCTTCGGGAACCTTGTGCCACGTTAAGCCAAGAAACCGAAGAGATCGTTCGCTGAGGCGGGAGAAAAGAAGGTGTCTCAACTCCGTCATGGTCCTTTCGTAGTCTGCCTCCACCAAAAGCTGCCCGTCGTCCGACTTTGCAAGAGGATGTCCAAGAAGCGCGTAGACGAAATCCCGTGGGTCCGTCGCCTTCTGTATGTGTCTGGCCTTGAACAGCACGTCCTGAAACTCCGGCTTATTTGTTCTCATCACCTGCCGTGCGGAAGTGGTGAGGATGAAAGAAGATCGATACCACGACTGGTCAACGCTCTCAGCGTACGTTGCCCAGACGTGGTTGAAGAGCCCGGAAATAAGGCCAGAGCTGAAATAAACACCGGGGAAATTGTTGCCCGTCTGCGCCCACGCCTGGGCAAAGTCTATGATCTCAGCAAAGTTGATACTTGACCTGCCGTACGCCAGGAGTACCTCTCTAGCAAGACCGACTTCTTGTAAGACCCAGACTCGCCCGAACCACGGCTTCTTGAAGATCTGCACAGCAGGTAATAGCCTCTCGCCAGTAATGAGACCATAATTTCCCTCATCATCTGCCGGCTTCCAGCCACTGCCGTCGACTATTCGAAGTTCCGTCATATACTTCGCGGCAACACGATTGTAGTCTTGAATCGCGTCGAAAGCGATTCTCGCAGCCTCGCCACTGTGTCCGTCGTCACCGAGACAGATGACGACTCGCCAGGCATGCGAGTATATCTCTCCCATCATGTTGACATGAAATGCCTTTTCTTGGAGGTCGCGCTGGTTTATACAGAGCGCATCAACCCATAGATGTCGCGGGCGGTCTGCATATCTGACTTGGCGGAGAGACTGGACGAGGTTTGCCGTCACGTCAATCTCAAGACCCTGACAGACTACGGATTCGGTATCTTGCGTGCTCCCCCAAACATAAGATACTGCTTCATATTCTTGAGTCTATCTAAGGATCGTTCGTTTTGACGTTTTATAGCAGACCTGCGGATCGAAATGGTGTGAGATACATGAGCAGCTGACAGGGTCGTCGTAAGCCCCTGGCTCAAGCAGTAAGATGCGAGTCCATTTCCCTTCGGGTAGGCCGTCGTAGAACGAGTAATGCTCAACTTTAGACATGGTTGGTTCCGAAGTTTTCTACCGGGTCACGGACGCGGAGTGACATGAAAATGGTTGAAGAATCGAAAATTGGCTGACGAGCCCAGCAGAGATGCCTCCATCATTTCGGCTTACCCCTCTCGAACCAGTCCTACCCCTGTCAGTTTTATCAATATTGAGGCCTCATAGTGGCTCAGATGTTGACATACAGTGGGCCCACGCACTTAGATGCTGAAGGCCAAAAAGAACTTTTGTTGCCTCAAGGAGACAACGTCGGCGTGGGCAATGACTGCAAAAAGGACCACCTGACCTTACACCTCATCATTCTTGCCAGAGAAACAAATTTGACTGAAAATCTTCGGATCGAGCTGGTTGCAACGTATCAAAACATGCCGGGTACTTGTATTTATCTTTGGTTTCCACGTTAAACGAGGATAACGGCAATGGGGCTGGTCCCAGTTTGGTAACAAGAGGCTCGGCCCTGATCATTACTGAAGATGATGAGCACATTATGATTTAACTAATGATCCGTTCTTATCGCTTGGAAGACACAGCTTAGTAGAGAATGGCATACATACATACAGCGCAACATCTTTCTTGTGGCTGGCTAACAATGCAGGTCTTAGAAAAAGAAAAGAATACGTCCATGATGCAGCCAGCAGTCATCGTGGTGGCTGGACTATGACGATTATTTGAGAGGGGTACAAGTGTTAGATTAAAACCCCTCAAAACCCCGAAAGTTCTCAAACAGTCTGGTAAATCTCATCCACCTAAGCCAGCAAGCTGTCCATACTTTGTTCTCAATACTTGCCACCGCCCTCTAACAACAATGAACCCTCTCCAAGCCGATCAGAGGATGTCTGATGCCGAGGAGATCCTCGGGTACGACTTCAAAGACCCTCGCTGGCTCTGGGAAGCGCTCCAGGCCGCAGGATCTCCGGTGACGAGAGTGGGCACGCGGAGTTTGCGCGAGGGCAACAAGCAGCTCGCGGGACTCGGCGACAGGATTATCTCGGTCGTCATTGTCACGATGTCCGTTGATGATAACATTAGCATCGGTATTTTCTCAAAGAAGCCATCATTCAAGTACAGGAAGACAGGCGGCCGCAGGCCTATTCTGACTGCCGAAACAGGCAACACCAACGCCCGAATCCAGATGTGCGCGAACAACGAGCGTCTAGCTAGGCTTTGTGACGCTGTCGGTTTGACCCGGTGCATCGTCAGAAATCCGTCCCAGCAGGGGATGGTGTCTCAACGCACTAAAGCTGACACCCTGGAGGCAGTAGTCGGCGCAGTCTTCAAGGACGGCGGGCTCGACGCTGCCGAAGAGGTGATTGAGCATCTGGGCATCGTTGATCTTCTGGTAACGTTTCAAACTCCCTCAATATCCCACACCAAATCTGTGATCAAGATGACCCTTGACAGTGTGCTCTATTCGGTCTGCCTCCGGAGTCCTTCGCTTAGGTGCGCCTGAAGCATAGGGGGGGGGGGGGGTCCGCATATAGAGCCGGGGGAAACAGCCTTTGCTACTCTACCAACTCGGTTGGCGGCGCCCTGCTGAGCATTCGACCTCGCTAGCCGCTGAGATCAGATATTCCGCTAGGGGTCGTTTGAACCTGGATGGTGGGGTCAAGCGCTGCTCTTTCGGTTCCCTGTGTGGACTTCCTCTGGGAACCTCAGATGCACTTGTACGAGGGACGCGGGGGGCATGCCGGATGGAGCAATTTCGCAGAGCTGGGCGGTCTGATGGACCCCGCCCAGTCTGCGATAATTGAGGTCTTCCGTAGAGGGCCGGATCTGCAGGATAGTGGACGGCACCCGCGAAGTTGGACGAGAAGACCTAATTCGCTTGGTCATTCAGGTTATGTGACCAGATTCGGCACAGAGACAATCAAAGCCCGGTCTACAAGGTGCGGTTTGCAACGTTATCTCGAGGAGTCTCTCCTCTCTAATTTTCGGCCATTCAGAGATTGGCTCGCAGGGAAGTTTCTGGAAGCTGGGTTTCTTGTCAGATGGAGAAGAATATGTTTAAAGGGGATGGGCTGATGGGGTCTCTATCGATGGATTGGTTACAGAAGGAGGAGGAAAGCCTTGGGAGGGAAGATGGCTCCAGACACTCTTTACGGTTTCTTTTGGACTTTACCATTGGTCTGTGGCTGGCTCAGTATACGAGAGGCACAATGATGATCGGCATCATATCCGAACGTCGTAATTTCTTCTATTTTCACGGCTTTTAAAGCAACAAGGTCGTGAAAATTCTCTGCGGCCAATACAATAAGAGCTTGGGAAAATCCCAAGCACCTTTTACACATCATTCTGAGTAGCGAAGCCCCTGAGAAAGCCCTACGGACTTTTCACTAAGTTCCCTGGGATACTTGGGCCATGGCGAGCTGTGCAACATCTGGGCACATGGCAAGGCAGATATTGCTAGCATTGGAGCATAACGCACCATCAATCTGACCCTGCGGCTGATATCACGCACTTACTATTGATATTCTGCCGTCGCTTGGTATTCTCGCTTCCTCAAATCGCCTGAATCTATGCAGGCAATAATAGTCAAGCGCTTCGGATATTCCCAAGTCTCACTATTTCCAAGCTTTCCATCTGCATAAGAGCAGGATTATGTGAGACAGAAAGCTCACCACTTGATCGAACCGACGACTTCAAGTTGCCCAAGGCGGAATAGATGCCGATCAACGAGGCGCCGCAGCCCGCATGGCCAAGCCGCCAGCGCGATCCTCTACGTACCCCCCGCGGCCAGCTCGGTAGACGGTGAGACCAGGTCGAATTTGAGAGGAACCCGAAATACGGTCGCATCCCTTAGAAAACAAGGTTAAACACAAATAACATTTGCCTCCAGTCAGCCTACCTTTCAAATAGACGCGGCATCGAGCCGGAGAGATGGCTCTTCGCAGTAGGCATGTTCCCGATCACCGCTCCCGTGACACCATAATCTCACACCGATCCTCTGGAGGCTCGGCAGCGGCTTGGGGGTTCCTGCGGGGAAAAGCACAATGCAGGTCGTACACTGCACGCCGGGCAAAAGCTGGGAGCTTCGCATCGGCCCTGTATCCTTCCAGCACGCATCCTGGCTCTCTCCAGCCAAGTCCAGTATCTTACCTCCCGAGGACCCAGGAAGGGCAGATTCCATCAGCAAACTGCCAAGAAGGGAAACAGCAAGTCATTCTTCACGGCATTTGGACGACAAGAGACCTTAATTTAAGCTACCTATTGTAGGTGGCTTGCTTTTGCTGAACTGTCGACAATGTCCGCCAGAACCTTTTTCGCGGGACGGGAGCAGCCAACTACCCACCGCGGGAGCACCGGCACGCGGACGCGGCGCTAGACGGGAATCCCAGTCGGCGGAATGTCTTGACCTACGTCGTTTTAGATCCTTCGCGACCGCGCACAATGTAGGCAGCTGGTTGAGTGTGGCCTGTCTCAATTGTGTTCTGCTAATGGCTGCTGTGCCACAATTCTCCCCCGCTGGTGCCTTCTCATATGATCTGCAGAAAGTTGGGTTTTGGGTCTTGCTGAGCCGCGAAAGCTCTCCATTCTGTCTATTGGAGCTGTCAAGCTGACATCTCATTTACCGCATTATTGTTAGTGGTATGCAGGTCAGAAAGCGTGTGGGCTAACACTCAAAGGTTCCTCAGATGCCGCTGCAGCTGTCAAGCCTGACATCTGCTCCAACTGCTCCTCCAAACCCCTGCTCCCCCAGATTTTCCTCCCAGCTATTGAATGCGCCGAGACCAAAACAACAACACATTCGTCCTTTCGCCAAGCACGCCGACGGCACGCCTCGCTTTCGCCCGGGGCTGACGCGCAAAAGTACGATGACGCAGGGCATTGCGCAAACTGGAAAGGCGTTCATTCAGGCTTTCTTGTCTTGGATAACAGTCGTCCAACCAAGATGAGGTCTCAACGGTTTAGAGATTGGGGGTGATTGATGGTGGTGGTGGTGATGATGGCCAGGAGTATATCTTCTGTGGAAGCCCCCTTTTCCCATCCCTGAGATCCACGAAGAGGAACATCGAGACTTGTCAGTCGACAGATCAATTGCTTCGTCCTGACTTCCTTCGTTACTTTCGCCGGCCCCCAACTTCGCAGGTCGCGCCTAGTCCATCGCGCCGGACACGTCAACGAGCCTGAGCAGTCACGACGATGAAATACCAAGTCACGCTGCAGAGCGCACTCGCGCTGCTCGTCGCATGCACATCCGCAGCACCGCTCAAGGGCATCGACCGCGAAACAATCCAGGATGAGTACGACTTCATCATCGCAGGAGGTACGTGACATCACCCCCGTCGGTCTCGCTCTCGCACCTTACATGTCCCTCATCCCATCCCCATCCTCCATCTCAAGAAATACCAAGAAACCCAAAAAAGGCAGCATACAACAACATATCACAATCGAACCATATAAAAGTCGAAAGGCTAACCTGCACCACCCCACCCCCTAGGCGGCACCGCCGGCCTCGTGCTCGCCAACCGGCTGAGCGAATCCGGCAAAAACCGTGTCCTCGTCCTCGAAGCGGGGCCGAACCCGGACGTCGTCTCCGCCTACAAGGCCCCCGGCGGCAACCAGTTCCTCGGCGGCACCGCCATCGACTGGTCCTTCTACACCACGCCCCAGGAACACCTCGACGGCCGCATCCTGCGCTACCACCGCGGCCGCTGCCTCGGCGGCTCTTCTGTCACCAACGGCTTCTACTACGGCCGCGGCAGCGCCTCCGTCTACGACGACTGGGTCCGCGTCGGCAACCCCGGCTGGGGCTGGGCCGACGTCTACCCGCTCTTCGTCCGCGGCACCTCCTTCAACCCGCCCGACGACCACGCCGCCAAGGGGTTCGATGTGAGCTACAAGACATGGGACCCCGCCGCGTATGCGGATGGCCCGCTGCAGCTCGGCTTCCAGGGGTACGTCCCGCCGTCGGGGGTGGGCTTCATCGAGGCCGCGGCGGAGGCGCTGCAGATCCCCATTGTGAAGGACTACAACACGGGGAACAGCACCGGCGTGAAGCAGGGGACGGGACACCTGGACAGCAAGTTCCATCGCAGCTCGAGCTACGACTCGTACCTGAAGCAGGCCATCGGCCGCAAGAACCTCGACGTGCTGTACTTCGCCCCCGTGTGGAAGATCAACTTCGACACCACGGGAGCGAAACCCAAGGCCACGGGCGTCGCGTTCATGGACCACCCCACCGGCATCGTTTACGAGGTCTCCGCGAAGAAGGAGGTCATCGTGAGCTCCGGCGCCTTCAACTCGCCCCAACTCCTCATGGTCTCCGTAAGCCACTCCCCTCTCCCCTTCCTATCATGACCTTCACTAACACCAAAACCAGGGCATCGGCCCCTCCGCCCAGCTCTCCAAGTTCGGCATCACGCCCGTCCACATCAACGAGAACGTCGGCCAGCACCTCAACGACCACTCCGTCTTCTCCATCATGGCCCTCTCCACGCCCGAGTTCTCCACCACCGACATGGCCGCCACCTTCGCCTCCCTGCGCGCCGCCCAGGACCAGTTCGCCGCCAACCTCACCGGCGAGTACACCGCGCCCTCGGGCATCACCAACGCCTTCCAGCGCCTTTCCGCCGACGAGCTGCGCGCCATTGGCGCAGAGCCCATCCTCGCCGCGGGGCTCGGCAACCAATCCCACATTGAGTACCTCTTCGAGAGCGTCTTCTACCCCTCCGGCCCGACGCCGTACTACACCCCCAAATCCAACGAGACGTACATCAGCCTCACCGCGTCGAGCATGGTTGCCCTGTCCCGTGGAAATGTCACGCTGCGCTCAAACTCCATGGCCGAGTTTCCCCTCATCAACCCCAACGTTTGTCCCCCCCCCCCCTCCCCATCCCTCACGAACATAGAGCTAACTTCCCAAAAGTACTACGCCCACGAAACAGACCGCAAAATCGCCCTCGCCTCCTTCAAATACCTGCGCAAGATCCTCGCCCACCCGCGCATGTCCGCCTTCACCGTCGGGCCCGACCACGGCGAGGTCTCCCCCGGCGCGGCCGCCGTCGCCGAGGACGACGAGGACGCCGTGCTCGCGTACGTCCGCCAGAACACGATCCCCAACTGGCACGCCTCGGGGACGAACCAGATGCTCCCCGAGGCCGACGGCGGCGTCGTCGACCCGCGGCTGCGCGTGTACGGCGTGGACGGCCTGCGGGTGGTGGACTGCTCCATCATCCCGATCCTGCCGGACGTTAATATTGTGGCGAGCGTGTACATGGTTGGCGAGAAGGGGGCGGATCTTATCAGGGAGGATTGGGGTGATTTGTAATCCGTAGATGGCTGTGATATGTTGTAATTAGAGTGGGATGTCTTGGAATATAATGTGTCGTGAATGAGTTCGGGTTTCTCATACGGTGGCGATGTTGTGTTCGTTGAATATCGTGAACAGCTCATGGTGAGCGTGTATATAACACGCTCACAAGCACCAGAATCAAATTCGTAAACGAAAAC